TTAAACAAAAAATTAGATAGATACATGTATAATACATCAATGGGCGAAGAACGAAGAAATAAATGGGGGAAAAATAAGATGAATGCAAGAGAGGCACTCACTCCTCCGCATGGCGAGCTCCTGATTCTCCTCCTCCTGTTTGCGCTTCCGGGAAGAAACCCACGCCAGAAACCCTATTGCGGGCTTTTTATACTCGGTGCTCCATACATTTCAGTTCGGGTCGACCCAGGTTCAAATTTTTTTTTTCACGTCGGGCTGTCTACTCATCAGGCGTGCTGGCTGGCTTGGCTTTGCGACACATGTCAACTAAATCAGACGTGGCGCTATCAGACCATTTTACGGTATTTGCATTTCCTCACCTATCAAACGGAAACATTTAAATTTTTATGAATTTGATTTTTGATTGTCATTACATATTTATTGATGGTGACTTTTGTTATAAAAAAATTATTTATGACATTAAGTTATGACAAATTTTTATAGTATTTTCGTATTAGATTATGCGAGACCCCAATTTAAATTTCGCACAGTGCCCTTAAAATCTCAGAGACGGCCCTGTATTTATCTCAATTGAAAGTTGTATTGACGAATCATTGACAAGAGTACCAAAGAAGCTGCAGCTGTGGATCCAGTTGAGCCTGAAAAGGTTCTTAAAGCAGCTCAAGAACATGGCGTTGATATCAAGCTCGTCCTCACCACTCACCACCACTGGTGTGTAAATGTTTGCACGTTTTCATCAAATTTACCATTCAATCACTTATATTCACACCCATATGCTTTATTTCTGCATACCCATTACTCATATTCAACTGCAACATAACATGTCACTGCAAAATTATTATATGTATTATATTTGTTTTGGATATAAGTGCCAACAAATGGGTATTTGGGGTTCATATCTTACTTGGGTAATAATCTGACAGGCCAAGATTGTATTGAGCATCTTAGTTTGGGTAAATGTAAAGATTAGACTTATGGGTTAGTTGCCTCTGTTTTAAGTGTTTTTGCTGCTGCATTGATGTGGTAGGGATCGCGCTGGTGGAAATGAGAAGATAAAGCAGCTGGTGCCGGGGATTAAGGTATATGGTGGTTCTATTGATAATGTAAAGGGCTGCACTGATAAGGTGGACAACGGTGATAAGATTTCTCTCGGGGCTGATGTTCATATATTGTCTCTTCACACACCTTGGTATGCATCTTCCTTGCAAATTTGTCCTTCATTAATGTGTAATGTTCTTAAGTCTGCTATACGACTGACATTTTTTTAGTCTCTTTGGAGTTTGGACTAATCCGTTACCTCTTTTTGGACTGTAAAGAGCAACAACAGCATATTATTGCCTTTCTGGCACACAAATGTTCTCAAGTTTTTCTTTTGTTTGGGATTAAATGCATCATAGATCTTTAACAAAAGATATCCTTGATCCTTTATAGCTTGATATGATAGAGAATTTGAATCTAAACCTGGCAAGAAAAAGAGGGCTATAGGACCATGATCATTAGATTAGGTATTGCTTCCATGCTATCTTAGCTTAGATGATTTAACTTTATGTATGTCTTTCCTTTTTATGTTTTTAATTATATTCCTCTCCTGAACTTGCTTTCACCAGCCACACTAAAGGTCACATAAGCTATTATGTGACTAACAAAGAGGGAGATGACCCAGCTGTTTTTACTGGAGACACACTGGTAAGTTGAGTGAAGGAGCTTTATTTTCTTTGAAATCTGAAATCAATGACAGATGTCATGAAAGGCCTCTTAGGGTAACTGGTTTCCGTAGTCTTAAGTTTATTTGAATGTGTTGTGCTGGAGACATGGGTTATTGTCTTGCACTGTGAAGTCGATGTCACATATGTGCCCCTATGTAGTAATGCCAAATACTTAGAAGTTTGGAATACCGAAACCTTTTTTATGTTCTTAGGAACATTTAGGCTGTAATAGGGTGGTTCTCTGAATCTCTTTTAATTTACTAGATTTATGTCTATTTATAAGGATGCAAGCAGTTAACTGTGGTTCCTGCTCTATATGTAGTTTATTGCGGGTTGTGGTAAATTTTTCGAAGGAACAGCAGAACAGATGCATCAGTCGCTATGTGTGACTTTGGGTTCATTGCAAAGCCAACACGAGTTTACTGTGGCCATGAGGTAAAAGAAGATTCTGGATTTCTTTGTGTCTTGAAATTTTACTCAATGACGGGACATTATTAATTGATGATGTTTATAGGCCCCAAAGTTTGATGTACTTGAACAATGCAATCTATTTCCTTCTCCTGATCAAGGATGAATTGGGTTGTTTATTTTCCAATTTAGTTCCAATGATTATCATAGTTTATAACTGTCATATTCATTCAATTGTTGTTGTATATGCTGTATGTCTTTCAGTCCGTAAGGCAAAGGTAATGATTTGATTGGTATTGCTCCAGTACACAGTGAAGAACTTGCAATTTGCTCTGACAGTTGAACCAGACAATGAGAAAATAAAGCAGAAGTTATCATGGGCACAGAAGCAGCGGGAAACAGGCCTCCCCACAGTTCCTTCAACCATTGAGGAAGAGATGGAGACGAACCCTTTTATGCGGGCTGATCTACCAGAGCTTCAGGTTTGCGTATTCTCCTATAAGTTGATAACCATATCATGGTTTTCAATTGAGAAAAAAGTAGTAAGTGAATATTTGGAAACTGATGTAGCACAGTTTGTTACTAAATTTGAATTGAAATGATTAAGAAGTTGGTATGGTATTGTTCCATGTTTATACAACTTTCGGTTTTTGCCAACTCTAGCATGACCAACTGCAGCATGCTCGCTTTCAATAGCCAACTCGCGCCATGCATACATACGGCTTCCTTACGTAGATGTTTAACTTGTTTTACAGGAGAGGATTGGTCGCAAAACTGCTGTTGAAGCTCTGCGTGAAATAAGGCAGAGGAAGGACAACTGGAGGGGCTAATTTGATGGCTTTAACATATTGCCTTTTGTGCCATCTTCGTTTCTGTTTTTCCTTCCAATGGGTTTGCAGAATATTGTTTAAGAGAGACAAAGCCTTGTGTTATTGTTGCTTGTTGGCTGGGCCAAGAATGTTTCTAACATATGCCCCGTGTGCTTGGCGTAGATAAAAGATAATGCAACTAGTACAGTTCGTGTGATGTGTATTGCCTTTAATTTTTGTTGATTTTGGACAACCGACCGCATGAGATGCCACCCAAGCCAACTTAATTAAACCAATTTCAATGGGTTGGTCCTTGTGCATAATGAAGAGCCTTTTCTTCTCTTACAAGTAAATCATAATTCCGATATTGTATCAAATTATGATTTTTCTTCTTTTGTGTATATATAGAAAATGACCGTTACTAAATAAAAGCATACAAACAAATAGACAAGGCTTAGAGCAGTTATCAATAATGAGTCTTCTAAGCAGCAGCAGCAGCATGACGAGCCGACAAGGTGGTGCTCTTCTTCAACTCCTTCCACTACTCCCACATGGATGGGACAGAAATGATGGCTTGCTATGGCAACTCCTAGCCCTTCTGTGAATAACTCTGCTAAGGGTTGATTCAACTTGGTGGATTCATCTCTCTCTCTCTCTGGATATTATAATAATAATTGTAGGAAAATATCATTAGGAACTTTACATCAATATTGGGGGTTTTACCTGCTCTTTGTCTAACATAATCTCATTCTCAGTACACTTATGAACTATGGAGCCTTGCATATCCACCATTTGAGCCGATGATGCCAATTTTTTGGAAATTGACACAGGAAGAGTGCAGCTGTGAACCTCTTAATATCGTTTCTTGTGTGCGTTGTGCTCAATTTTTTGGAAATTGACACAGGGAGAGTGCAGTTGTGAACCTCTTAATATCGTTTCTTGTGTGCGTTGCGCTCAATGTAACGTGTAACTTGTTGAAAAAGTATAAATAAAAAGATGTAAAGTACCCAAAAAAAAAAAAAAAACCATGCATATCCACCATTTGACCCGTGCATCGTGTGTAATGTCGGGATCAATTGCTCCGGCTGGTGCTTGGAGAAGAAAGGAGAATTATGTTGAATTACCCTCCCTGAGGGAGAAGAAGGTTCATTCGGCTGGTGCTTGGAGAAGAAAGGAGAATTATGTTGAATTACCCTCCCTGAGAGAGAAGAAGGTTCATCAAGACCTGATGGAGATGGAGGTTTGTTTAGAGAGGTTGGGCAAACGCATTGCCAAAGAAATACAATTTAAAGCGATGCAATCGGTAGGGCTTCCTTATTATTATTATTTTATTTAATTTTTAATTGTATTTGTGGATCAACAAAATAAAATAAAAGATCAAAAGTTGCACAACTTTTGCGTTCATATTAGTCTGTACATGTAGGTAGGTAGAGTAGGGGACCACTCCTAAACTTTCTTCCTCCTTCTCCTGCTTCAACGACTTGCTCTCCCCCACAAAACTCCAAACGTCTCAATGTTGCTTTTTGATTTGGGCAAAACAAAATATTTGATGTGTGCCCTTGAGAAAGGGCACGTGACCACCTGGGGCACCACTCCTAAACGCTTTCTTCCTCTTTTCTGCTTCAACGACTTGCTCCCTCCCCCACCCCCCATGTTTTGTCATAGATAGAAAGGTTTCTTTTGGCTTGGGCTGGTCTACATGTCCTCCTCTTGTATAAGAAATCACTATAATTTCACTGCACAAGAAATGAAACGGATATCAAAAGTTGGAGTTGGGCATTAGATCACCGACATGCATTTGAGAAGGTGGAGCATATGATACGAGTTTGAAATATATTTTTTGACCCTTTTATTATATGTCACATATGTGATGTGAGTTTGAAATACTTTTTTTTTTTTTTTGGATCAAATAGAAAGATTCATTCAACCGTAGCACCAAACCAACGATAAAAGTTTACAAACGAACGAAGAGTGTTAGTGTGGCCTCATTAAAACCTCACCATCCAAAACCCCCAATCGAAGAAAATCCGGTCAAGGAAAAAGAGTACCACCGCATCTCAAAAAAACAAACAATGAACTACACCATAGCTATATCATTATCTAAAAGAATGCTTAACCATGGAGGAGCACGGTCTTCCAAAAAAAGTCGAGATCTCGCTCTCAACCCATGCTGGGCTAGACTATGTGCCACCCCATTACCTTTCCGGTGTTGGTAGAACACTCCAGCCACCTCTCGATCAACCATTAACCGACGAACATCCTTCACCACATTACCAATATTACTCCACCAATCCAACCCATCTTTAAGAATAGTAACAGCTTCTTGAGAATCAAGACCAATGGTAAACAGAGTAAAACCCATGTATCCAATCATCAATAAACTTTCCCAGACAGCCACCAACTCAGTGCCCAAAACATCCAGACCAGGTGGACCAAAATATGGGAAACCACAAATAAAGTTTTCGTCGTGATCACGACAACATCCCCCCAGACCCCGACCACCTTGCTCACGACCCACAGCCCCATCACAGTTAAGGATAAGGGTATTGACCGGTGGTTTCAACCAATGGACCTGTGGAGAGACAAGGGGGAGGTTGGACCGCTCCTCACAAGATTTGAACACTGCCAGCATTTCCATCGTGTTTTCCACCATATTATCCACCCTTGCAAACTATTTCCCATGCAAAGAATCATTACGTAGTTTCCACGCACTCCACACACAACAAGCAAAGTGCTATAAGTCAGCTTTCGACATCATTGAAGCCACAGCCTCAAAAGCATCAGCAAAAGTGCCACTCGCCATATTAATATCTAAAGCTTATGACAGAGTGGAATTGACCTTTATTGAGGCTATGCTTAAGTTGTTGGGCTTTATCGACAGGTGGGTGGAGCTAATCATGGATTGTATATCCACTGTTACATACTCTGTTCAAGTTCCGGGAGTGGCTTCAGGAATGATTATGCCATCAAGGGGGCTGAGTCAGGGAGATCCTCTCTCTCCTTATCGGTTTTTAATTTGTGCAGAGGGACTGTCTGTTTTGCTTTCTAACGCACTCAGAATCAAGCGTATTAGCGGCATTTCTGTGGCTCAGGGAGCACCTACTATTTCTCATTTATTTTTTGCAGATGATAATCTATTTTTTTGTAATGCCCATCTAGCTGATTGTGCTTATTTGCTTCAGATTATCAACATGTATGAGAGAGCATCTGGTCAGAAAATTAATTTTGATAAGTGTGCAGTATGTTTTAGCCCCAACACTGATCTGGTGATGAAGCAATTGATTGCTGAAATGCTTGGAGTGCCGATTGTTACATGTCATGAACGCTACCTTGGGCTGCCTACCTTAGCTCAACGCAGCAAATCCCGGATGTTTAATCATGTGCGAGAACAAGTGTGGCGCAAGCTTAATACTTGGGATACGAAGTTGCTGTCAGCGGCGGGCAAGGAAGTCTTAATTAAGGCGGTTGGTCAGGCACTACCTACTTATACAATGAGAGTATTTAAGTTGCCAAAATCTTTATGTCAGGAATTATCTGCTATGATTGCAAGGTTCTGGTGGGGGAAGAGTGGCAGGAAAGGAATTCATTGGTTGGGTTGGAGGAAATTGTGTAAACCAAAATGTCTGGGAGGCCTTGGCTTCAGACACTTTGAAGCTTTTAATAAAGCCATGTTGGCAAAACAGGCTTGGCGTATTTTAGAGAACCCCACCTTTCTGGTGGCTAAGATACTTAAAGCCCGATATTTTCCAAATGATGATTTTATGCATGCTAGTTTGGGGAGCTAGCCGTCAATGATATGGAAATCTATTAGGTGGGGACGTGAGGTTATTGAGGATGGCTTGCTTTGGAGGGTGGGCAATGAAGCTTTTATCCGTGTTCTCCAAGATAGGGGGATTACAAAACCATTTAAGTTCAAAACCGTTGATGGCTAGAGGGCTGGAGTAGACTATTATGGTCTCTGACCTTCTAACGGCTTCTAGCTCTTGGAATTTACCCCTGTTATAGCACATTTTAGCTTGGAAGATCGAGATATCATTTCTGGTATCGCCTTGGGATCAGTTTCACAGCTAGGTCATAGCAAATATTGGTTTTTCTCAAAGAACGGGAAATATTCCGTTAATACTGGGTATCGTGTGGTGATAAGGCAGTGCGCTGAGGATTTTGGAATGGGGGGATTGGATCAGAATGCTCAAGAAGGCTTCTGGATGCAAATTTGGAAGCTGGATGTCCCCAACAAAATTAAGATACTGCTTTGGCGAGCATGTACTGAAATTCTACCAACTACAGTAAATTTATTTAAGAGAATGGTGCTTACATCTCATGTGTGCTCAAGGTGTGGGAATTATCCTGAAGATGCTTACCATGCTTTGTGGTCTTGTAAAATGAGTCAAAAATTTTGGAAGTGTACCCATTTTATCCGGCGAATTAATATGGCGAGTTTGAAATCTTATGTTTATATATAATATAATAATATGGTATCTAATATGAACATGTTTATTTGGTGGCCACGGAACATACCAAAATTTCTATATTTTTAAGAAAACTCTCTGTATATATGCTATTTTTTGTAGAACATGTACATATGTAATTATATACCCTTTTGGCATTGAATAAATTTAATAATGATCTTCGAAATTCAGGGCAATACAGTAATTGAACTCAAGTTTTACTCCCCCGCTAAGGAAAACGTGTGACAATTGGTTTTCTTTTGTTCTTTTTTTTTTTATAATTAAAAAAATATAATGGGTAGTTGTGTTCCATAAAAATAAGATTCATTATCTGTTTTTTCTTTAAATTTTAATTTTTTTAATATTAAAAAGTGTTAATTTACCATATTATCCTCATTTAATTAATAATTTTAATTTTTAATGTTTGGATTAACCTTGGGCATTTTTGGGTATTTTGAATGTTTCACCATTCTCTGTCTTTTGCTTTATATATATAAATAATTATAATACTGTAGGGGCTTTTTTTCTTCCGGCAGTTTTTAGAGTAAAACTTGCGCCAATTTTTTTTTTTTTTTTTTTTTATTTTTTGGAATAGATTGTTTTCGGTAACCTATATCTATATCTCTATATATAAAGGTAAAATGCAGTTAAACATTCAAAATCTCTAATTAACCTATGTTAATAAATCAGACCAAAAACAAAAACCTCTAAATGCATTAAGTAAAGCTCATATACAGTCTACATAGTCTATTTGGAGTGAAAAATTCAAAATTAGTCATTTCTTATTTTCTAATTGGTTCTTATAAAATTTTAACATGCTAGAAAGCAATTATAAAATAACAAGTGGCTAATTTTGGTTTTTTTTCTCCAAATAAACTCTATATTTAAGCTTTTGTATATATATTATGCTAAAATGAGTTTTTGAATAAATATCTCTATATGATTTTTTAAAGCAACATTTAATATATACAAGCAAAAGAAGAACAAGAAAACCTAATTTCAAGGGATGTAGTCAGTATTTAGTGATTGACCAAAAAAAAAGTTATAATTTATGGTCAGTTTGACATTGTTGTGCTGTGAAAATAATAGCTGTCAAATTTGTTATAAGATAAAGCAATTTGACATTTAGTAAACTTTTTGTTAAAAGTGTTATCGATACTAATTCCCACATAATTAGGAAATTATTTCTTTATAATCATTAACCCTAGAGCATCTTCGCTAATTCATGCATAATCAGAAAATAAAAACACTTCATTAGATACTTTCTATTATAGTTTTATCTCACAATAATTTTTAACAATAATTAATTTTCTTATAGTTTACCAAATGGATTAAGCTTCCCAAAATTTTTAAAAATTCACTTATCACTCAAAATAAGCAATACAGACACTTAGTCAAACGAAAAATAGGTAAATAATTGTTGTGAAATAAATATATCGATGAAAACAAGGTGACAGCTGGGGAAGGCAGGGCATAATAATGAAGATCAACCGACAAGGTCATTGAGAAGGATAAAAGGCTAAAAGCGTCATTTAAAGGCTCAACAATAAACAAGAAGACCGCATATTCTAATAGCTCAACATCCACTCTCTGGCAACTGCCATGTGGACCCAATGTTGTACGACGGTAACAAACTCCACATGACCTTAATGCTACGTGTAAACTTTAGCTTTTCCTGCACAAACCCCCGTTGATAGCTCTCTGTGTGTCCCTCAAATCCACGTTAACTTCATCACCTCAACGCAATAATGTTTTCAAAAGCAAAATAAAAATATGGGAAATGGTATTTGTACCCTTAAACTAATCCACGTTTACTCCACTCCACCCCCACTCATAATTTAGGTTTTTTTTTCCTATCAATGCGATATTGTAACTTATTTGATATTACTAATCTATTTATGGGAGGAGAGATCGAATGAGAGTGCGAAAGCCACATATAGGATTTTGTTCAACTGATTTAACTTACATTTGTCGAACTAAAAAGTATTTAATTCATTAGAATCAACTTCTGAATAGTCATTCACATAGAATGTTCACTATAATATCCCCAAACATGGAATGAGCATTCTCAACTTAGAGGTAAGGAATATTAATTTCATTCATGCAATTTTGTTATAATTTAAAGATTTGTGCTCTACTTTATGTACATGGTAATTGAACCTTGAACTTTGATCCAATTTATAACCAATAACCGAAGACTGGTAAATTGGGATTCGAGACCAATCGAAACATGACTTGAAAATTATACTACGAGCTAGCTCCAAGCGCAATACATAAGAGTATGAACTACGAGCATTAAATTCATCCTTAAATATTGAACTCTAACCACCTGGAATTTCATACTTAAAGTCTAAGATTTGATAATGAACTTGATCCTAAAACGGGACTCAAATGGTCAACTTTGATAATTGATTAAGATTCTAAATTGTAGTTTTAGGAAACTACAAGAAGTGTAATGTTCATCGTGATGTTAGGTATCGTTTACAATTTTTCTAACCAATGTTGATTTTTAATGATGCAAGGGTGGTAATTAAGAAACTAACCTTAAATAAATTATATAGATATATATATATATATATATATACGGAGAGCTTCCGTTGAGGGATCCCTCAAATAAGCTTATTTGAGGGACACCCCTTGTAGGGCCCACTCCGGATTGTATTTCACTAATCCAAACCGTCTATTTTGTAGATACACATTCAAAGATCATCTCTACAAAAAATCACTTGAATCCGATATCTTTTGACCATGCAATTGAGTTATTGAAATTTTAGTATTTTCTTGAGGCACCGTGTTCATTGATTTTGTAGGACACAATTGGATGTCGAAACGGTTTCCGATTTGTCTAATTTTTTGTAAGGATGATCTATGAATGAAGACCTAAAAAAGAGATGGTTTTGATCATTGGAAAAAAAATTGTAGGGTACCCTAAAGGGCATCCCTCAAATAAAATTATTTGAGGAATCCCTCAATAGAAGGGGACTGATATATATATATAGTGGGACAAGTCCAAACGAAATATTTGATGTGTGCGCTTAAGAAAGGGCACGACCAGCTGGGGCACCACTTTCTTCCTTCTTTCTACTTCTCTCAAATACAGTAACCCGTCTTTTCATATTTATCTTTTGTAACAAATTTGCTTTTCCCAAGGCCAAGACAGACATTTGAGAGACTGCGAGACGGACACATC